AGAGAGATTTACAAATCAAACATAAAATGTTATAACGCATACCAAGACTCATTTGTCTTTTGTTGCCAGCTCTAGCTTGCTCCACGAGTTCTCTGTAAACTGCATCCAGGGGATGTTCCCAGGTGGTGGTACCGGTGGATGCCTGATAGTAATACCAGGCACCACTAGCTTCATGAAAGCATGGAGACCAACCCTTAGGTAGGGCTGCCATAAGACCCTCTCGGGCCAAGTCCAGAAGATGTGGTTCCGCATCGGGATCAATTCCCAGACGTTTTGCATAATCCAGTAGCTCTGGAATTACATTGTTTTCTTTCAATTTAATAATACATTTCTATTGTAAATATAATCTTGATCACCCCATTACATGTTGACAAGTCGATATTATTTGATAAAAAAGAAACAAGGATGAAAAAATGACGTTGACAAAATATGATTTAGTTTCGTTCATAACAATGTTCTTAAATAGAAATATATTTAAGTAAAATTTAAGTAAATTTAAATAAATATTTAAGTAAAATTCTTTTACTAATTTATAAAATGTGGTTCCTATATATTGTGGTAGTGTCAATGTATCTAACCAGGTTTAATCATTCTATTGATCAATAAAACAATAGAAAATTTTCAATAAATTCGACATAATGTTAATTTAATGTTTATTTACAGCATATATTTTTATCTGGTATAGCATAATTTATTAATAATGCCCTTGTAAACTTTAATCACTAGAAAGGTGTATCCCTGTATCTTATTATATCGATAAATTGTACAATTCATTGATCACACGGTTAATCGGGTTAAAAGCACAAAGTTACCTTTCACAGAAATTGCTACGACGGCATGATGCGTTTACGGCCATTTAACACTATTTTGTTATTAAAACAGAAGCTTTAATATATAATAGTAAAAATCAACTTTTTAAGATTTTAAAGATTAGAAGAAAATATCGATAATTAAATTAAATAATCGCTTAATGTGTCATCTGTATCATTTGATAAAAACTATGTTAATTGTCGATATTATAATTATAAAAATTATGCAGACCTTATATATCTTAAAACAACATAAACTTTATTGTATTCATCTTGTGATTGTTCTTTTAACTACCGAAATTGATATTAAAGTATTTAGTAAAGTAAAATTAAAATTAAAGTTGTTATTAAAAGTATTTTATGTGGACGTGACATATGAAATATCATAAATAAAAGTTTTAAAATTAATAATATTCCCTCCACGATAGATAAACTTTTCAGTACTTTAATTAAGAAGATAGATATAAAAATAAGAAGATAGATATAAAAAATAATTCGAATGAAATTTATATTGAATCTATTTACATATACTTATCAATCATACAAATAAATAATGAATAAATAATGAATAATTGTTTTGTCTTAATTTTGCTAAAAAGTGTGAGAAATGCTTGTTTATATTAAGATATTGTAATTTGTTCTGATATTCAACAAAAACGGTATAAAAAATCTAGCATTTTAAAAATATATTTTGAAAATAAAATCTATGAAAAGCTTCATGCTTATTTAAATTTTTACAAATTTTATTTGTGTGTAAACAACCTGCAGCAACCTCATTTAATTTTTTCCGCTATGCGCCCATCTGTCAACATAACAGCTGAAAGTTTTTCTACTCAAACTA